CATTTCACAAAAGAGCAGTGCCTGACGAATGGAGAACTGTCTGTTTTGGCATATTTCACCTATTAGAAATGCTAAATAAGATCTGCCAGCTTAAACCACCTCGACGATGATATAGACTAAGGTGTGTAATTTAGGAGGGGAGACAGCTAGGACTGTGTTTCAGGTCAGCTGCTGCAGCTCGGCTGATGAGCAGTAATGTGTTAAGCCGCTGTAATTTGCTCACTTGAGGTTGTTTATCCATAAAATGGTTTTGTGATCTTGTTTGAGAACGGAAACATTTAAAGGAAGACAAAATTAAGAATGATAATAAATCATCTTGTTCAGGTAAATGCATTAGTGTTTGCGTGCAAAAGCAAATGTTTAGTTGAAGAGCAGCCATTCCCCAAATAGGCATATGAAAAAAAAAACAAACAGCCCGGGTCTGCGTGAACAAGATGCTATTTCAGGATTAAACCATCCCTTGCTATAAACTGCCGCACAAGCCTTTCATCTTCCCGTGCGTGCCTCGCCCCACCAGCCTTCCTGGGAGACCCGCACAGCAGAGATGTCAGTGGGGAACGGTCGCTGCCAAGACGGTGCCAAACGCTGCCCAAACACCATTTCTGCAGCGACGTCCGCATTGTCCAGCCCATGGACAATGGCTGCAGAAGGTGCTGCATGCCCAAGCACAGCGCAAGGAAACAGCTAAGAACAGACCATCCCCAAGTGAGGAATCCACAAAGGGAGATACCTGCCGAAGGGCAGCGCTGACCTCGCATGTCCTGTCTGCAAGGCTCAGCCCCAGGGGAGGCTCATTTTGTCCAGGCATCTGCGGCTTGGCTCTCCAGCTATTTTAAGCAAGGATTACCTTGCCCACCATGGAGACACAAGCACCTCCGAGCTGGAAACGGCTGTGCTTGAAGAGGGGAGATTTTAATGGCTCCACTTGGAGCCAGAGGGCACAGAGCCTGCAATTACTGGGGCTGCAGTTTGAGCGCAGAGATTAGCAGACTGCAGGAAAATCCCCTTGGCCTTGCAGCGAGCACAGAGGTAGGAGCGGCGCTTCTGTGCCCTGTCGGGAAGATGCTGCTGGCGACAGTGCAGGGCTGGAGAAGCCTCGTGCCAGGCGCTGGTTCTGCAGCAGCTCGCTGGTACGGAGCAGCAAGTCACATTTATTTGAGTAACAGCCCTACGGTCCCCCCTGCCTAAACCAGGGCCAGTCTTCTAAATTTCAGAGCTACCTCTGTGGGAAGCAGCAAGTCCTCATCTGTATCACGTAGGAGAAGATGGAAAATTATTTAAATAGCCTGTTGGATGAGACAGTAAATGTTATTTGGATTTGTCCTCTTCTTCTGCAAAACGTCACTACGCTGGGGAAATAGAAGTGAGCTCCAAAGCACTGGGTGCTGCTGCTCCCAGGCAGCATGTGCTGTCTGCGTGCTGGTCCACGTGCTGTGACAAAGCCACCACTGTCACTTTGAACTAGGCACAAAGGAAGAGGTTCTGCAGGGAGCAGAGGGACTCACGGTGCCAGCTCCAATGGCCAAATTCCAGGTAGGAACCCATAGCAATGCCTGCCCAAGGCAAGGACCCAGCTCGTCATACACAGGAACGGGGCATGTGGACACGTGGGCTGCTGCGTGGGCTGGAGGAGAGCGGCCACCGGGATCCCACTGCTATTCCAAAAATGTCTCTTTAAGACGTGGCTTAGCTGTGCCTCTGGTCACCCGTGCTCCCACTGCAGCTGGAATTTAATCTCGCAGGCGCATGTAGCTCCTTGGCGGAGTCACGTTGCCTCCTGGTAGGACTCGAGTCCCCAGGAGGTAGCCAACTGCATTTTCAAAATGCTCCTTCTTTACATATTTACACATCAAACACTGTCCAAGAAGCGGCGGGTTGCTGTGTTTTTGTTTTGTTTGATTAAATTCTTATTGAGAAAAGCCTCAAGAAAATAAAGTCCTGAAGAGTTTGGAGGAGAGGGAGCAAGGAGAAGGGACAATCCGAGCAAACAGCTGGTGGTGGCACATCTGAGGCAGCCAAGAAGGAGAAACGTGGGAGAAAACAGTTATTCTGTGGGAGTACAAAGCAGTTTCGGAACAAAACCTAAACCAAAGCCCCAAATCTCTTTTTGGGCAAGAGGCTGTGCTGCAGTCACACCGCACACAAGTGATTTGCACGTGCCAGGGTTCCTGCCGAGCACTGCATGGAGTCGTAGTGAAGCCTGAGTTAATTCAGAACAATGGGACAAATAATCTCCATGGCCACTTTGCCCTCTGCTCTGTCCCCTCATATCTGCTCCTTTGGACACGCTGGGCTGGGAGGAACACATGGTTAGGATGCGTTAGGAATAGCAGCACAGCACAGCTACTGATTAGGTTAAAGGACTGGGCCAGGTAGGAGAAGCAGAGCTGCATAAAGTGACATCCCCTCTTGCCTGCATGCTTGGAGGTCCTGCCAGCTCTGCCTTTCTTTGTGTATCCTCCTGGACTCCTGTGAAACCCCTTGGAGAAGGACTCAGGAAAAGTAAAACAGAAGATAGTATTTTCCATTTTCTGGGCCAGCTAAGCAAATGAGAAACCCCAAAATAAAACAGAGCCTGTCTGGGTCTGACCACTGTTCCTATGAGCTCCTGCCCAAGCCCAGGCTTTGCTTCCCTCCTGGCATGGTCGTGACCTCCTAGGCCAGAGGAGAGGAGGAGCGCGGCAGCACGCGCGGGCTGCAGCGAGCCGGCCCGGCATGCTCCCTGCTAGGGAGTTGTGAGGCGCTTCCCCTCGGCACCTGCGATCCCCGCGGCAGAGCCCCTAGGGAAGAAGCCAGAGCTGTTCTCATTCGGGAAGCAGTGGGGGGAGGTCGGGAAGCGGCAGCCCGAGGTTTCCAGGCCATGTCCCAGCCATGCCTGCAGGTAGGTTAACTCGTGGTTTTCCTCTGTGGGGAGGCACACGGAGCAGGCTAAGGAAAATCCCAGCAAACCACCTGCTCTGCTGGCAATTAGGCAGCACCTCACTGAGCACTTCGCTTTGAGCCCTGCTCAGCTGTGAAAATTAAGAAAGGTGGCAGGAGGAGGAGATCACTTGTAAACTGAACAAAAACAAAGTAGAGAATTTTGGGGGAGGAAAATTTTCCCTGCATCATTTGGCCTGTCCCAGCTCACATCACTGTGTTTCCTACCCACCTTGCTGCCGTTGCCAGGCTCAGCGTGTGCAGCTGGGGCTTCCACAAAGCACTGCACAACCCTCAGAGGAAGACTGTGAAGTGCAAATTATTTTCACTTTTGGGAAACAGAAAGGACGAATAGAAAACAAGTCGCCTCCCTGTCACCAGGTTTAATGAAGCCCCTTGTCCGACGGAGCGCAGCGGGTTGTGCCTAGGGGCTTTGCTGGGCTGCTCCATGTTCTCTTAATGATGTGCCTAATGCAAAAATGCAGAAAGGTTTTCTGAAAGCCAGGTGAGACTGTAGGGGGGAAGGTGGGTGAGCAGCATTGGAGCAAGAGCTCCCTGGGAGTAAAGCAAAGCTTTTCTACAAAAATCAGGTAGATGCTTTACGGATTGTCCTCTCTATTTGAGTGCTCCTTTGGATGGCAAGTGGGACACCCCATAATAACATCTGTAGTGAATTGAGAGCCTGAGGAATCCTGTGCCAAAGCAGTAATGTCAGGGGAAAGGTCCACATCCCAAACACTGTATGTACTATTTATTTCTAATGCCCAAAGACTAAACATTGCGCTAGAAACTAAGGTGAGATTTACATAATGCTGTTAAATTTAAATTTGCAGTAAGGGGACCTGCTTTCCATTGCGCTTCGCAGCGCAGCAGCAGGGAAGTCTTTAGGTATTCAGGTCAGCTCTCACACCAGCAATTGCACCTCTGCAAAGAGGGCTGGGGATACAATCACACTTGAAACCTGCGCAGACGAAATCCTGTTCAAATTTCAAAACATTTAGAGCCATCCAAACATTGCGCTTTCCAAAGCAGCCATGGACAGAGCCTTTAAGGTTTGCTTGGCTTCTACTTGAGCAAACTCAGCCTGGGGAGGGCAGGGGCCAAGGGAATGCGGAAGGAGGAGGGCAGATGTCGGGGGGCAAGTGGGAAACAAGAAATTGGATCTTGGGAATGCACAGGGCAGGAATGAGGTGTCCAATGCCTATTCAAGCTCCCTGTTCCCTACAGCTTATTTTTAAGAAACAGCAATGCACATGCAAATGCATGCGTGTTGATGAAATCCATATTTGAGACACATGATTTAAGGTGCAACCAGAGATAGATTGGCTGCTGGCAAATGGGTTGCAAATGGATTCGCAACCCCGAACCTCCCGCCCTGCCGCCGAGGAGCGAAGGTGCCCGAGGTCCTGCAGGGCCCAGCGCGCGGCTTGGCGAGCGAGCGGGGCCCAGAGAGCAGAGGGAGGGGGTGGCCGAGAAGCGCACGCTTGGGGTGCGCTAGATCCTCACCGGCCTCAGGGGAAACCTCATGCTCAGCTGCAGGGCCTTTCTGCAGGCAGGACCAAGTCAATTAGCTACTTACAGACCGAGTAAATCTAGAAGGCCAGGATCTCCCATCAAAGAAACCAGTTCACTTGGTAGATGCTGGTGTTTCCAGCACTGATGGAAGCAACTGCTGTATGTGGGATGTGGCCCGGCAGATCAAAGTGCCTGGAAAGGCGGCAGCTGTCCCAGCGGGCACTGCAAGAGGGGACACACAGGAGAGCGGGCAGGGCCTCCCACCTTTTCAGTCCAAGAAATGCACCCCCAGTGATTCCAATCCAGCCCTAAGACTTCACAGGTCCAGCAATTCAGCTCAAAAATCAAAATGTCACTGCAAAACAACTCACCATGTTGGCTTAACTCAGGCTTGAAATTTGTCTTGCGTGAGACATTAGAGCATCCCACACTGTACACCACAAACCTGTGGCATGTCGGGCCAACGCTGATGGTTCTAAAAGTACCAGGACGGGGCTTAAAAGATTTCAAAAGTGCAATAGAAGTCATCTGCAGATTGACACCTACCACCATTACACATTTTGCTGTGAAAGAGAGAGAGGTATAAAAACTGCCCCAATTTCTGAGTGCTGTGCCCCAAATTAGCTACTACCCCACACTCACAGTCTTATGAGACACCATGAAAGAAGTGCCAGGGAGTCATTTTTAGCCAGCTCCTCAAGTTATAAGAAAATAATTGCTTAAGCTTCATAAATTATTGTTATTTCATTTAATGAATCATTTTGACTCACTTTAGGTTTCAAGTTATATTTAATAGTGCCATGCAGTAAAGTTGTTGTGAAATTAGGAATTCATTTGTCATTCATGTATGTTCTTATTTTAATTAGATCAAGTTAAAATTATTTCTTTTCTAGAGAGATAAGTGACAGTCAATGTGTTCCTCATTTCACCAAGAATGTAAAAATTCTTCTCGTATTCAAAGCTAATAACCAAACCCTTCCCCTCATATTCCTTCACACAAACACACATCCACAAACACACAGCTTTGTTCTCACATCCCCAGCAACATAACACTGGAGTAACCTTCCGTACCGAACTTAGCACCTCTTCTTCTGAGGGAGAATCATTCTTTTGGGTTCAGTCCAGACATGTTGAACAAAGGATTTGAGGCTGAAAGTGTCTGAGAAGATGAAAAATGTGTTTCTACCTCTGTGCAGTTTTTTAGAATAGTTTTTAACAATCAGGAATAATTTAGTGGTGGGAAACGAGATGCTAGTTACAAGGAAGTTCCACATTAGTCCCCATAATATATCCTGTGAATTGCCTGTACACACACAAATCTCAAAGCCTGTGGCCAGTGGGACATTTGGGGACCCAGCAGTGAAGTGCAGCTGAAGACTTGAGTAGCAGGGGGCCCAGCCACAGTCTGCTGGGCTGACCTGTCTACTGCCTTCCTGGTCTCCTTCAGCAGCACTGACCCTTCTCCTGCTCTGAAAGGACAAGGAGTGAGAAGTGGGGTTTTGGAGACTGCCAGAACATCACCTGAGAAGGGAAACAAAATGTAGTCAGAGGGGAGCAAAACAGCAAAGTGGAGCATATCAGTGCCATCCATCTTAACACCAAGAAGACCACTCATTTGTTTTTTTTAAGTGAACTGCTAATTAAGACATAATGTAGACACTGTAAAGCCTCTGATGTTTTACTGTAGCATGGGAATTAGGGTATGGCTGAGCCAATTACACTCAGCACTTCTTCTTTCATCTGGTGAAGAAGGGGAGGCTGACATTTTTCAGGCAGTGGTGAGGTCAGAAAATCACTCAAACTCTGACCTGGCAACCATGAGAAATGGAAAATGAGGATCCCACCGAGGCACGGGATCAGCCTGGTCAGTGCTCTCGTAAGAGTAGAGGGATGGAGGGGAAAAAAAAAGGAGGGAGCGAAAGGGCTGCAGATTGATGAGGTGGACAGCAGCTCATATTTACATATGTGGGGCCTCCTTGACAGCAGAAAAATAAGTTAACCCACAAAATAGAAATGTAATCTCCATTCACTTCCCAACTTGTGCAAGTGCTGGGCGCAGAGCGGCGGCGCTCGGCTGCACGGAGGTGTTGAGCGGAGGGACCCCGACCAATAAATCTGCGCGACTTCCTGTTATGAGAAGCGGACGCAGAGATACGGGCAGGGATGGGCAGAGCTGTCTGCACAAGGGAAGAGCCTGCGCCTTCACCCCCAACTCCAACCCACCCTCGCCGAGGTTAGGAAAAGTTCAGGTCACTCTGGGGATTTTTTAGCCTTATTTCTCATTTTTGCCCGTTCCCGTGGGAGCTGGAAGTAGAAGGGACAGAGCATTTCTTTCCTGCTGGCAGGGAGCAGCGCTCAGAGTGTCACACACAAGTTTGTTCTTGTGTGACGTGCAGGCCAAGGGTGTGAATAATGCAGGTTTTGCTCTGCGGAGAATTTCTTGGCATTACTCTGCAAGTGTTTTCCTCCCACCACATCTTCCCTGCTCCCCTCCATCCAGTGCATGCTACAGACATATGGAAAAGGTAAGCAGCACTTCCCAGTGAAAAAGACTTCCCAGGAGACCCTTGGGAGAACGTGCACAATGGTAACCGCGTTGCAGAGCACCAGTTGCCTGATAAGATTCCTCGCAGGCGGCGACACCAGACGCCCGGTGCTTTTCTGTCCATAGCGCCTGCACAAACAGCCTGATCCTGCAGTCCTGACTCTCACTGCATGCATTTTCCAGAAGTGTAGAATGTCCACCACATTTGAGAGCAATTAGGACAAAGGTGAGAGTGTTTCAGAGTATTTGCCCATGTTCTTGCAAATGGAGAGTTTCAGCATTGTAGGTACTCTCCAACTTCAGCAACCTCATAGTACCACCACTGCTAGCTGCAAGATGTTTGATGGAAACAGGAACACTGCCATGGATATAAACTCTGCTGCTTTTTTCTTTTTCCTTAGAGAGACCCAAAATCTATGAAAAGGAGACGGATTTTGATAAGATCGAGCGGGTGGAATTAAGAAGCACACACAAAATCCAGTGCACCGTAAGCGGGAACCCTGACCCAAAGGTCGAGTGGCAGTGGCAGCCCTGCAGCCTCATGGAGACAGTGTAAGTGGGTGCTCAGGGAGCTCTCACCAAAGGGTGAATGTGCTGTGATTTAATCTGGTGGTTTCAGGACAATTTTTCTTTTCAGTGTCTTACTTATCTGTATTAAAAAATGTGATTCCTACCTAAAGATCACAAGGGGGTTGTCTATGATGCTTTTTGGCATTGCAAACACCTTTTATAATATCAGAATTGTATCCAATAAGTTTAAAGTAACTGACTATCAGACTTGCATTTTCTTTAACTTGACCAGCAAGGCAGCTCAAACTTACTAAGATTTTTCTTACACCTCTTGGATGCAGCCTATGATGTTGATGAAGAAAAAAAGATAGGTGTGAGCAACCAGCAAAGGGAAGATCTCAAGGAAAAGAGTGTGTAGAGATGAAATACAGTTTTTTGTATAGGTGACATATGTTTTTTCCCTCATAAGGACTAGTGTCAGACCAACCTGACGAAGGCTAGTTGAAAGCTAAGATGTCCCATGTGGTTTGCTGGTGTCGTTCCTGCTGCTCTGTGAGCAGAGTGGTCTGTGGGGAGAGCTCCTGGCTCTGGTCTGGACGGGTGTCACACACGGGAGCTGGCTGTGACAACTCTGACAACTCTTCCCCTTCCTTCTTTAAAAAAATCAAGGCAGATCTGGGCAGCAGGAGAGAAATTTTGCTGGATTGTTCCTTATTTTCTCACAGCTTCTTCAAATCCTAGGAATGGCAGGCCACAAGCCTGAGACAAGCTCCTGTCCCAGGTCCCCTGCAACAGCAGTCACCGCAGGGGTGGATAATCCTGGCTCAGATCAGGTCTCGAAAGTGGCCGTATGTCCTTCCACAAAGGAAGTTGCCCGTTAGCTGGGTTAGCATTTGGCCAGGAGCTACCTTGCTGCTGGTCATGAAGGCAGAATTCAACCAGATTCAAACCAGGGAGCTGGTGACAAAAGACCTCGTATAACCCTCGTTCCAGCTCCCTGGCCCTCCGATGTTATCGATGTAAATACAATTGCAGAGTGGCGTCCACCTCTTCTGGCCTCCAGGGCAGCCTTATCTTTCTCCAGCAGAAGCTGGAGGAGGATTCCTGTGGGAAATGACACAGCTCCCATTTCCTCCTGTTGTTTCACTTCCTCTCGCTCCCTCTCTCTCTCCCCCTTCCTCACTGGAGCACTCTGAATCCCAGAGCACATCATTGTCCTTCAAGCCGTGATGTGATTTACTTCCTTTGAGTATTTTCTCTTCATCCTTAAGACAGAATTGTGCCTTGCAGGAAGTTGCCTAAGCCCTCTTTTAATTAAGATGTTTTGAGAGCTAGAAACCCTCCCTTGACCCAGAGTGGTAACAGGGTGTCTTCTGAGGACTTGACAGAGGTGCCACCATCTAGCAGATTGGTGGCCTGCAGTGCTAGCCCTTGGGCATCACCTACAGAAACATGTGGCCTGCAGTGCTGGCCCTTGGGCATCACCTACAGAAACGCATGTTCGTTTTAGGTCCTGTAACGCTCGCAAGGGCTGGCAGGGCTGCGGGAAGTGCGGCGCCTACGCAGGAGCCCGGCTGCTTATCCCTGCCGTGTGTGGCTGTCTTCCAGTGAGGATGCAACGTGAGCGGAGCCTTCTGCCACTGTCACCCCAGTAGTAACTCTGCTCGCTCAGGGACCGTCAGCAGCACCTCCTCCCCGCGCCGTGATTAGCGGCTGGCATGCTGAGTTTTGAAAAGTGTTACGAGTGCTTAAAGAAAAGCTATAGTGGCGTGAGCTGGAGTATTTTGCCTATTCACCACATTAAACTCACATGGCTGGATTTAGGTGTTCAGGGTTTTCTGTGTTCAGTCTTTAAAAAGCTTGGGATGTGTCAGCTTGTGCTCTTTGTCCTGTTGAGGTGGATCCTATATGAAATGCTTTGAAATGTTGTGAAGGAATGTCACAGTTGCAGGAGAAGGTAACAATCTCTATCAGCAAAAGTTTTAGGAGTTTCTAAGACCTAAGACTATTGCTTCAGCATGACATCTTTAATGATGGCTCCTTGGGTTGTCCACAGCGAGTCGGGCTTTGAACAGCACCTTTGCTTTTCCACCTCCAGATGCAACCCCCATGGGCCAAGAATAGTGGTGGAGGAGAACATGGATACAGGCAACAAGATCAGGAGCATTGAAAACACCATGAAGCCTGGGGATAAAAGAAAGGTATGTGGCTGCCGGACGGTTGAGCGCTGATGTCACCGAATAGCAGCGGTTTTACAGCCGGGATGCTGCGCTCACACGGGCCGCTCTCCGGCAGTTCCCAAGCTGCTGCTGCTTGTTAGCATGCTTTGAATTCCACAGCCCTGGGATCACTTTCAGATTGCTGCTGTTTATAAATGCCGGGATTCTGGCAATGATGTCACTTACCCTGTTTAAAGCCCTCCAAAGAATTGTGGGTCAAAAACTTCTCTGTCTCACTCAGTCTTGAGAAAGTGTAAGACTGACTCAGTGCAAGCAGGGTCTTGTGAAGCGCACCCCACTGATAAGGACTCTACATGCATCAAATTGTTTAGCACTTACTTAGAAAGTACTTCGTACTGCCCAGAGACTCACAAAACCCTGCCTACCCTGGCAGCAGTAGGAGTGAAGCAGCTGGGTTATTAAGGGATCTCCCACGGGCAGGAGTAGCTGGCCTGATTGGCAGAATGCTTTGGGTGCCTGCAGGACCTGCCTGTTCTGCCTGAAGTTAGAGATATTTCCTTATCCATTTGGGTGCCAACCATGTTACCATGCAGGAGAAGGTGGGAAGACCTCCTTCCTTCTCCACTTCCCTGCTTGCTGCAGTCTATATCCTGACGTACTTTAAGCACATGATAAAATTTTGGGGCTACTTGCATGCTTAAAGTAAAGCACAAAGCTAAAGTGCTTTTCTGGATCAGGTCCAGACTAAATCAGCATCTGGCAGGATCAGTGCCTTAGCCATCTGCTCTTTCTCATGGAGACTTTCCAGCTCGAAACATAATCTAAAACAGAGCTCTGAAAACATGGAGGTTGGGCTGGGAAGGAGAAAATCTCGGTCCCCTTTTCATCCCTGAGTTTTCCCCGTGCTGGAAGATATTTATAAATTGGACTCATTTAGATACAGCATAGTGTCCCATAAGCTCTGCCTTTAATGGATTCTCCAGAATTTTACATCTTAGGTAAAAAGCAACCACCTACAAAGCTTCAACTAGTTGTAAAACATGGAGACCAGTGACTTGGACTTACAAAGGTGCTTCCCTTTCTAAGACTTTCGAGTTGCTGCATGGACAGAGAAGAGTTTTGTATCTTTCATAACTGCTGTTTGTCTCCATATAGAGAGTCTATCTATCTATATGATCAGGTACCAAGGAGCATAATTTAGGTCTCATGATCGGTTTTAGTTACATTAGTCCCCATATGAATGAGAAGGGCTTCATGATTGCTGTGGTTCAAAAGATTTCCATTTCAATACTCCTTGGTTATTGAATTGTCCCTTAGGCTGGGACAGTGAGGCACATCTACTACAGAAAAAACAATTCTACAACAGAAAAGTATTAAAAACAACTTTTTGTTGTTGTTTTATGCATGTAAATGCCTCTTCCAGTTCTTATCTTGCCAACTTAGCTGATGCAAATACACAACTGGGTGAAATTTTAGTCTGTTAGTGGAGGTAGAGGTGGGACTTTTTGCTGGGGGAGATGCTCAGTGGAAACGGGGCCATGAGAAACCTCAACGAGACTTGTTCACCCCCGAGGACTCCTCTCCTTCTCCAAGAGCTGTGCAGCTGCTCGCACCTTGGCCTCCTGCGTGGCTGCTCCTGGCTCTGCCCTGCAGCAGCCGTCTCTGCTCTCTGCCCTGTCTTTAGACTCCGGCATCCCGAAGGATTCTGTTTTTAGACATGTTCAAAGCTCTGCCCACACTCCTTTAACTGGAGCTGCTATGTATTACATTATTCAAGTTCCTTAGAACACAAGTTGCATAACTGTATAATTTATAGGACATTCATTATTTTCATCTCCTCCTGAACCACTGGTTGAAAAAAACACACTCTGAGGTGTTTCCTACTAATGTTTATGTCCCAGTTAAGATTTATTCAAATTAATAAAACTAGATATTTTTGAATCTCAGATTTCAGCACTTTGTCTCCCTGCTTACATTAGCAGACAATTCCTCTCCTTCCCCCCTTCTGAAGTTCAAGGCTATCTGCTCTGAGTTAAGTGGAGTTCTTAGATAATACAATATAATTCAAAAAAGACACTGATGAAATCTCATAGCCTTCAGACTTTTCCTTGTTTTTTATCAGTCGTTATTCCCACCAGAAATGCAATAGACAGGAAATGGCCCAATCCATTCCCACCACATCCTAGCAAGTAATTCATCGGCATTGACTAGCCAGATGAAATAATAAAGATGTTGAAGTCTGAGCTTTTATTGACTGCATTCTGAAGCTGGGATTAGCTAAGATTGGTTATTTTTCCTGTGTGATTTGAGCCTGTCCGATGACAGCCGGCGTCTCGGAGCAGAAGGTGGAATGTACCTAGTCTCAAAGATTTCATCTGTTTTGCAGGGTCCCTGAAGTTCACCCTCAAAGACTTGTAGCAATAAATGTTTCTTCAGTGACAACTTAAAAGAAATACATTAGCTTTTTGGAGCTTCTATGAATACAGGAGCAAATCCCCAGAAATTCCCAGATCCAGATTTTTGCTCACGGAGGCAGCAAGCAAGGGTTCCTCCATCAGAGCAGCGATGCTGTCTCACACTGAGATCTTATGTCTGTCTGATGTGTGTCATGTAAAATTGAAATCTCTCATTATCTTAGTCATCATAATAATGATTTTTCCATTATTATTGCAGAGATAAGGAGCTGAATCTCACCCTTTCCCATCTTCCTAAAGACAGAATCTCACTCCTAAAGAAAAGCACGTGCTTAACATTATAACATCATATCATTAATGGTATAAGTTCATAGGAGTCTTGGTCAAATACTGCTTGAGGCAATTACATTGTGCCAGCCTCATTTTTCTCTGTGGTTTTGAGTCAATGCTGAAGCTTTCACTTTGTGATTTACACTGCCATGTAGCTACCTCTGAAAACTGCTTTTTACTGGCAGGTGAAACAGCTCTGATGATTGCAGGAATTGCCTGGATTCCCTCTTCAGGCTGCAAGGAGCTAGGTTGCTATTTTAGTTTCTTAGTGAACTGAACATCCTGGTCTGAGCTGGGGAGAACAGGTCGCTGTAGAGAGCACAGCAAGATCCATGCATAATTCAGTCCTGGGGAATTTATTTTCATCTCTCTTTCCTCTCTCACACGTATATATGAGAGAGATGGCCCTGCTACATGAATGCTTGGACATGTTTTTGTAATGAAACCGATGAATTTATTTAGCTTGTGAAATTCGTAAGCAGTCAAGAAAATCCACCTGAAAATGATGGTTTTAAACCTTCTGGAGGAGCTAAGGGACAAAACATTGGATGGGTTCAGTGAGAAGCATGGGAGCAGCTCAGCAGGGCTGGTTAAATCTGTCACCTTGCACGGGTGCCTGTTTGAGCGAGCAGCCTCCAACCTTGGCACAGTGGTCTCTGGCAGGGGAGGGGAACTGCCATGTGGCTGCATTTTGGACAAGGTGTTCACAGCCCACAGGCTTCAGACAATTCTGAAGCACAGGAACACATGGGCTATCTTGGCCTTGGCAAGTCATCTTGAGAGAGCCTGGCTTGCAGCAAGGACGTAAGAAAGAGCGCCCTGTCCTTCCCGCCCATTTTAACTCATTAGCTCTAATCACGGCCAGGAGGAAGATGCATGGGGCAGTTGTGGCTCGTGGACAGCCAACACCTGCCTGCCAGCCTTTGGGCCAGTCATCAGTTTGCACACATGAGAGACATCCCAATCCCTCCAGAGGCCCCTCAAATCTCCAATTGACTGCAATTTTCTGCCCCATTCTGCATGTTGCCTAAGGAGACGGTCACAGCGTAACCATGAGCATGGCTGTACTCCTGAGGAAGGCACTGAGCAGCCTCGTTATACAGGGAGAAAAACAGAGGTGCCAAACGGCACTGCAGAAATGAAGGCAAACCCCAGAAGCTCCCAGTCCACTCAGATTTCTTCTCTCATCCCTTGTCCTCAGTCCATCCTTTATCATGTTTTAAATAGATGAACTAAGATCATGGGTAGGAATTGTCAGGCTATAAAAACAAGTGCTGTTCTGTGCCATTCAAATAGATGGATTGGGAGCTAGCTGAGTATTTTCTTTGCGGGGTCTCTGCTGAAGTTCCTATTAATTTCATCTCTCTCTAGCCACCTCCACCCCAGCTCTGCCAGAGTTAGACAGCTGAGAAGTTTTCCACCCACTTTTTCTACTCCCCATCCTCGCCCACTTCGCTAACGAAGTGAAAGAGAGAAGAGCTGTTAACTAAAGCCATTGAGGGGAGGGATTCGAAAGGCAAGAGAAAGCAAGGAATAACAAGATATATTAATCGGTGCTGGCTCCAGCTTAAAAATAAGGTCTTGCTGCTCTGCCCTTACCATGAGATGTCTTACAACACTCATGGTACATGGCTGTGGAATGTTATTTGGCTGCTTCTGAAACAGCTTGTTTTATCAATTAGCAACATTTCAGCGCAAGGCATATGGACTTTCCTGAACAGCTCCACTATGGGTTTTCCTAGCAGCAGTGCCTATTTGCTCGCTATAGTTGTTCTTCAGACATTGGTCATTTGCTCTTATTGCATTTTCAACTTAATTTATCCTTATGTAATAATTATTTATTAGCTAGTAATCCCTTCCTCGGGCTGGCGGTATCGAGTGGCCTTCAGGTTAAGCAGAGGAAATGGAGCCCTTTGCCTCCAAATTGAACACAGGCGAGCAGAACTGGTCGTCATCCGAAGGTTGTTTGGTGCTGGGCATGCAGGGAACTTGCAGCATCTCAGCCCTGCTCCCCTTAGGAAGAGGTCTAGACACTGCAGGCGAGTAATTTGTTATTCGTTATTGTTGGGTTCAGCACTGTCTGCAAAGAAGCAAAGGACTGAAGAGCTTGTGCTGCAACCTCTATCTGGAGAACTGCTGCTTGAAGCTTGTGCTGCAAGCTGTACCTGGAGAACATTGTCAAGGGTTGATATATCATTAGCTCGAACTGCTCTTGACAGGGATATTGGGTGAAAGGTCAAATTAAAAAGTGCAAAATTGCAGGCTGTCAATAGCTCATGAACAGCAATTTTGCTGCAAAGATACAGTGTTTCAAAGTAATTGCAGATTTTGCGTTAGCATCTTCGTTTTGGCTTAGCAGAAAGCATTGCCTTCTGCCTGGGAACAGCTTTCTGAGTAGAAGGAATGAACTGCAGCTTTGACGTCAGCCCGGCTTTGAGCAAGAGGTTGGACAGGAGACCTACAGATGTCCCATTCGGTTAAAGTCATTCCAAGCGTGTATGAGTCTAGATAAACTTTTCTACCCAGAAATGGAGTGTGCAATGCCAGTTGCATGCACAAAGCACAGAGTGAATGATCGCCTCAGAATATCCCTCCATAATGTTTTTCTACTCTCTATGAAGGTCCCCAAACACTGCGACCATGCCGTTCTATTGAGAGACAACTCTGATAACAGTTTTCACTTTTATAAAGACAAATATTCCAATGTTGGTTGCTTGCTCATACCCTTTTCACATTCAGCTGCTTCTTGCATACTTTTCTTGAAATGTATGCACTGAAATTATGTGGATGGGTTTTAGAAAAACAACTCTTTTCTCCCTACCTGCAGTTACAACCAAGTTCAGAGAAATTTCATGCCAGCTATATTAACAAGTGGTGAACATCCACCAAAATATCTACACGGAGAATACCATAGGGATTTCTTCTTTTTTTTTACAATCTGGGTTATTAGGGGTAGCTTTTCAATGGGATTTGCTTAAAAGATTTGCCCGGGTATTTCAAAAAGCAGGTACTGATAAACTACATAGTTTTATGGAGGGCAGGAAGATTTGCAGTGCTGTCAGCCCCTTTGGTACCTCCTGTGTGTGCTCCAAAGCTTTGGTCTGTTGAAGACTAATGCAGGATTAGGTTAGTTTGGCACCTGAGGACTTGCGGTGAGATACGGCAAATATAATTGGGCTCCTTATCTCAGGGATTTATGGTGGGAATAAAAGGCTGATACACAGTGATTCCTAGGGATTCATCTTATTAAAAGGAAATCACTCCTGGTCCTTAATTTCCATCACTGAAGTCATATACGTTTCTGCACTGCATGCTGCTGTTTTGAAAGTCACATTTTAGAGGACTTGGAGAGGAGACACTGAAGCGAATTCTCTCTTGTGCTCAGCTGTGTAGAGTCACATTTTAGAGGACTTGGAGAGGACTTTCTGAGACAAGACACTGAAGCGACTTCTCTCTCACGCTGAACTGTGTAGCAAAGCTGTATCCAGGCGCGTAGCAAGGATTTTAAGCCCACAAACAAGGAAATTACTTCCTCTCTTTTCCTCCATGAATTCTTCTCAAGACATTGCCCCCAAATCAAGCTTGTTTCCCTTCATCCTTTCAGCATCCTTTCACCTTAGCATCTGGCACATTTCAGGATAGCCGTTAGCTCGTTTCTGCCCCCTGCCAAACCAGACCTTTCGTGAGTTACACAGTCAAGGGTGTCAGTGTCTGTGTGTGCTCCTGACCTCTCGGACACCGAGTGCATGCTGAGACCTTCCAGTAAGAGTCACCGTGTCTCCCCTAACAGCTGGGGAGAAGCGGTTTCAGCAGGTACATCTATATCAGCCTTTGCTATTCCTAAATACAAAATCTTGAGATCTAGTGATCATGAGAAGAAAAATCTTGGTCCTGATTCAGTGATTCAGAAGGCGGTGACTAAAGCCAAAAGTCAGGGCAGTGCCGTGAACCTGGTCTTGGGAGTGACCAGCAGCACCAGGGAGTTCCCCCTGCAGCAGAACCAGGAGCAGGAGCTGCTGTCCCAGGGATTCCTACCCAACGGAGAGCTCTTTCTGCATCAGCAATAAGCATGAGGACTGCACAGCCCTTTCTTTGGTGGACACCAGAGGGAGCTGGGTTTGCTGCTCTCCTTCCACCCCTGAATTTGTTTTGTGCCTGGTAATGGTTATTTCTATGTTGGGCACCCAGGAGAGGTAGGTGCTTTTCTTTTTCCTCTGCCACTGCTCTGTTGTTCTGCAGAGGTGAGGAGGAAAATGTTCCCCATTAGGATGTGAAATGCACACGGGATCAAAACTTTTGAAACTCATTTCCCTATGGGATTTAAGGTGCCAAAGCTCAGAAAATCTGAAATAACTCTTTGAAAATAAATTCCACACAGCTAGAGACACAGTCATATCGTAGCTTTATGGAGAGAAAAGGAAGGTCTTGTGTGAATTTAGTTTAGGATATTAAAAAAGAGAAAAAAAAAGAAACCTCAAGAGATGCTTTCATGCACATCAAAGCAGTCTGGGGAGATCAGGGCAAAGGGCCAGGGAGCATTATAAGTTTTGATTCTTAAAATCCTTAAAAAGGATTGCAAAGAAAGTGCTATTTGTTCCAAATGTGAGGGCTCCGAGGTGTGAGGGCTCAGGTGAACGGCTGCGGGAAAAGCAAAGCCATCCTGGCTTGGCGGCTTGGACCCTGCCTTCTTGCTAGCAGCACGAAGGGAGCCCCAGAACTAATTAAAGCCGCGACATGGCTGAGGTGACGAGCTGAGATGAGGCTCAAAGGGGTGTTGAGTCAAGGGTCTCCCAAGGACAATATGTAAAAGTAATCTGAGGCCTGGAGGGGCCACATGCCTCCCTGCTCTGTGGTTTATCACCACAAAGCAGCTCCTGGAAACATTTCTTACAGCACATCCACCAGAATGACCTGTTCCCTGTGCAACTGTATGTGTTCTCCCACCTCTGAAAAGCATTTGTACCTGAAATGAAAATTTGCACATGTGGGACTAGTATCTTGGGTGTCTTTCCAGTGCCTTGGATGAATCTTTGCAGTCCTTCACTTCAGCTCTGTGCTGATGTTGCCACATTTAGACTGTGTCAGTGTGGCAGAGAGGAGCCCTCTTTTTCACTGGCAGAAATAGGAAGGAAAGAAGGAGGGTTTTAGGACTAAAGAAGGAAGGAAATTTTCTGAGCTGAGGTGCTATGAGCTGGGAGACCAAAGGACTGGCAGAAGCACTAGTCTGTGAACTTCCCTCACTGCTAGAAGCTCCTTGGCAGTTTTCCTGCCATAAAATATGTATTTATCAACTACTCACAAGCCTCTCTGCTCAGCCCACACTGTATTCAAAGCCCTTTCTATTCTGACTCTTCTGGCAGATCGTGAGCACGCTAACCATGGAGAACAGCAGCGCGTCGGGGATCTATTACTGCGTGGCCTCCAACAAGATCGACACAGAGGAGAGGAGCATCAAGTTCTATGTTTCAGGTAACCAACACAAACACTACACAAACCTAGTTGCTCATGATGATTACTGATTTACCGTGAAGTTTTACGTGGTGGTTGAGTGCTGGTTAAACCCTTGGGAACTGCTGGCTTTGCAGGGAACTCCAATCCCACCGAGTCTGGGCTCTCCAGCACATGCCAGGCTGGGTCCTGTGTCCATGAACAACTGAGTCTGGCATGTCCAGCCTCAGACCTGAGGCCCATTTTGCCCTTTTCAAACATTCGTGGCACTTGAGCCCTGTCCTCAAGAAACCTCTCACAAGAGCCAAGTCCTTTGCAATCTTCCAAAGACCTCAGGCTTCTTCCTGACTCAGGACAACAGCGGGTTTCTGGTTAAGCCAGGGGACCTAGCGAAGGTGAGCAAGGACAATATTCCAACCTAGTCCAGGGCTGCTGCTGTCACCAGGAGCTGCTGTGACACTGGATCTGTGCCTGAGCCATTAGCCTTTCCAGTGCCCTTTCGGGAGCGGAGAGCTGGACATGCTATTTCACCAAAGAACACAAATCCAAACAAATATCTGCTTAACCTTTTAACACAGAAATTCCTGAGCAGTGAGATCAGGACCTATATGCTGCTTTATGAGAAACGGGAGTTTAAAAAAGAGAAGAGTCCAGGGACAGCCTTGTTCAAATGTTTAACTAGAACGAACTGAATCACTTCTGTGCTCACTTTCTGGATGACTGGATGTTGGCTGGTGGAATTTGCATCAAAATAACACTTTTCAGAACAAAGAGTGCAGAAGTGTCCTGGAAGGTAAATGTCCAATTCTCACCACGTAGTTTCTTCCCCACAAAATACACTCTGAGGCCAAAGCTCCCTATTGACCATGCTGCACCCTCCCCTGACTCCTGCACCCTGTGTGGTTTGACTCCTTTGCTCTAAAGCATTTCAGCACATTGCAAATCAAGCTGAGCCAAAATGGGCTCACTAAACCTTGCTGCCATTCTTATTACACAGAAGTGCTAATAGGAAAAATGTCTCCCATGATAATGAAGCTGGTGACATATGGAGGAAAGATTTCACCTCTGACTGCAGTTTCTTTGCGCTGCTGCAACGCCATATGGAGACAGAAGAGTTTAGTCTCCAGTTTTTAGTCTCCAAAAGATTTGCTCCCAGTCCTAACTTGGCTTATCTAGGATAAAGCCCATCATGGTGCATGTTCGTGGGATGCAGCACAAACATAAGATGTCCCCAAGATGACCAAGGCGGGCTGGTGATCAGCTATTAATTTAACACCTCACCAGTTCCAGGCGAGTCTCCACACGGGCCTGTTTCAGCTTTGAACTCTGCCAGACATTAGGCTGGATGGGTTTCTCAAAGCAGCATGTTCCCAGCTATTCACAGTACTTTGCAGTACGGAGGGACTAAAACCAGCGTGGCAGCGACTAATCTACAGCTAGGAGGTCAGTGCCAAAGGGCTGGGCCAATCTAGGCAGCTTTCAGAATGATATTTTCTGTCTGTGCCTTTTAGAGAAAGATTGTTTTACAAAAAAAACACTTTTCAGTGAAAATGGCATAAATTATGCAGGCTTTCCCTCACACACACAATGATGATAATACCTCAGATTTTTTATTTTAAGACCTACCTGGTGTTTCCAGGCACAAATGTTTTAATCATGCCTTCTTAATTATAAAAGAAATGAATCACTGGAGAAATACTGACAGTGGTTATGGTGGAAATGTTATTTTTCCTGAAACAGACTAGGAGGTGACTTGGGCTTAGCAAGACAAGACATTCTTGACCTTGTGGAGCAGAGTGTGGGACTGTGCCATCCTGGGGAAAAGTAGATGCTGAATAAGTATGACTGACTTTTATAAACCGTGTGCTTAAAAATAGCCGTGTTTATGGATTATGAAAAATGAAATCCTACTAAATGTGGAATCCTAGTCCTAAAATAGGTCACATTGCAGTGGTTAAAAGAAAACCCAAGCAGCCCAGTGACCTCCTCCTTTGCTTCTTTATGCCATGGTCTCTGCTGAGCAATACATGTTACTCCAACCAGTGTAACACGATTAGAGGGAATGTTTGTTGGGCAGAGGGGTTAGACTATCCTGTAACAGCACGTGGTCAGAGATCCTGCCTCAAAATTCCATTTTTTAGTCTTTCTGATATAACCACTGCTACAAAACTGACAGTTTGGTGCACAGTAGGTGAGAAGAAAACTACTTTACAACTGACACAATTTTCTGTGCGCCGAAGCAGCAAAGGCAGAATTAAGGCCTGGAGCATCCAAGCAGTGTGTGCACCTTTAGGACCACATCTAGCAAATGCTCCCGGCACTTCACAGTCAACTTCACTGTTTTCTGCAAATCAGCAACTGCCTCTGAGACTCCACAATTAATTCTGCAATGTGCTGACTCCTGCTGACCAGCGATATGCTGGGTCTTGAAAGGAGCAGCACTGCCAGGCTCCACCTGCTCGGTGGGGAAACATCTCTCTTCAGTCTGGTGTTTTCATCACCACCCTGCTCATGTCAGAAAATTATATTTATCCCAAAGGAATAATGACAACAGCCATTTTGTTCTTCCATTGCAGAGCCCCCTCAAAAACTCCCACAGACACCAGAAATAGCATTGATATCTATTTTTAAAGTATTTCTTTGCCAGCAGAAAGCACTTCCCTGCAAGGTCACCAGTGTTTGCAGATCACTCTGAAACCAAACCATATAAGGGGTCCAGGGAGATGAGAAATCTTATCATTAAGTGACAGAGCTAAAGCCTCTCTAAGCTCTTTCTGCAGATTTCCTCAGTGTCCATGGCCCATTGAAGCTCTCCCAAAGCTGCTCAGGGCAACAGAAACTCCCCTCCTGATGCAGCAGAGGTTTTATCCTCACTGCCCTGGCCTAAGTCTGATCCCAGCCTTGCCAGGTTTCCCTGGGTAAATCCCTTTTAGAGTTTCTCTTTGAAACAGAAGCCGTCTCCGGGACACTCTGCCTGCAGCAGCTTTGACACCCAAGCTCCCATTTAACTCAACCTGTTGTTTTATCACGGCAAGAGCTACGTGAACGACCCGTCAGATGCTCAGAGCTGCCTCATGCCATTGCCCACCACCAGTCATGCCAGAGAGCACTCAAGGCAGACTCCAGAAAGCTGAGCTGGTGTCTCCTGGTGGTACTTTGTGCCACAAACAAGGGTTCCTTAACCTCTAATCTCTGGTCTGCACCTGGTGAAGGGCAGCATATGCGTTAGGTCCACAGAAACTCAAATTCGAGCACTATGTGGCTGCAGTCTGTACAACAAAATAGGATCGCACCCATTTGAAGCCTCTGAATGTTCCTGCAGTACAAGGAAATTAGGATAAGGATAACAAATAATAACAAAAGTGCTTTTCAACTCTTATCTGACTGCAAAAAACAACTCAGGAAAATGGAGTTAAAGATTTCTACCAGAAAGAAAATGTATTTCAGGCATCAGATAAGAACCTGCTGTCAGACAGAGGAACAAGGCATGAACTGGGCTTTTCCACAACTGCTGCCACTCTTCATTTGTTTATTCCTGACATGTTTACAGGATTTATGCAAGGATCTGGGCTGTTTTAGATCACAGGGCTCACCCCATCTTCTCACTCGCCCTATTTCAGACATGCGGGACCCCCCCTGCCAGGCCCTGCTGTGGAATTTGGGACACAGCAGAAGTTTTGAATTATACAGATTACTGTGCAAAGCACAGGAAATTAAAACCAATTAATTCCTTGTAAATACAAATGGCCTCAGACTCGCTTTTGATTTATGCTGCCTCTTTACCTTCCCCCAATGGCTCATGGCCTGACTGTGCCATGGAATCCCGCGCAGTCTAGAGTGAAATCCGCTGCTACCCCGCCGTAATATAATACGAAAGACAAATGTTTGGTAACTGCTGATAAAAGAGAAGAGGCCCCATGGTGCATTCTTTTAGCCAACTTATTAGGAGTCTTATAAAACACTGTATCTGTTCAGAGAGAGTTGTTAATCACTGCTTAGGTTCAAGATTGTGTAAGCAAAGTAGCCTAAGAGATGAGCTGACTTCTACAGTGCTCTCAAAGCTGCAGCTACTCCCCAGACGATCCAGGTAGGAGGAGGAAAGAGGAGAGCAAGAGATGGATTTTCTCTCTCTTTCCTTCCAGCCTAATGTAAAGCAATGAATATTCTATTGGAGCAGAAAGAGCTTCTTGAAAGGCTAACAAGAGAATAGCACAAGTCCCAGCTAAAAATATTCAAAATCCTAAATAAAAAATGCCTGTAGAAGGAATGATAAGAAAAACAAGCCAGTCGTCTGCTCGCAGAATGTTAAGTTGGTAGAAAAAAAGCCCTGCAGAGGCAGAGTCCAGCAGCAAGGCTGAAGCACCGAGCTACCTGCCCGCTGCCACTCGCAAATGAACACTCACAAGGCACTGAGAGCACGAACGAAAACATCAGTGACCTCTGGGTGCTCCAGCCCACGCTTTCACGGCCTGCACGGCAGGGCTTTCCTCCTATTTCTCTTCTGAGCTTCTAGCAGATGGCACCCAGGGACTTCCAGAAACCAGGGAGAGGTCCCTCTTCATCATGCTTGGCTGGCTGTATTCTGGACTTATTGGAACATTTGGAATGATTTGAGAGAGCTGCTGCCTGTGCCAAACACTGTAGTTTGCACTGGACCTTAATTCTCCCTGTTTAGAGAGGTTCTGTTGCCCTCAGACCTTTCCCCCTTCTTGAACAATATCATCTTGACAGAGGACAGCAGACCTGAGGAGGGGACGATCACACAGGTCAATTGGATCATGCCATGAGCAAGACAGCCATGGAGGCTAACAAACAGTGATGCAAAAACGAAATCAAGATTTCATGAGAAAGGGAAGAAGAGAAAACCAATTTCCACAGCAGTGGCCTGAGGGGTCTCTTCTGTTTTTGGATCTTTCATAAAACATTGCTGGTGCCAGTCTTTAAGAACCATGAAGCAAAACTTATTGGTTCTATTCCCGATGACCTGTGAAGGAGAAAGACTTTTAATCATATTGGAAAGCTCCTCGAGGGCTCTGTATTGTATATAATATATGGTGTATTATAAGGCAGATTGGTTATTTCAATGGCCTCACTATTAATCCTCCACTATAGCTTCCACAGTATTTTTTGCAGGCGTTTGCAGCGTAAGCCCCTGGCCAGATTCCAGGTCCCATGTGGGATCTGTCAGAGTGCAAGTGCGATGCGAACTTGCTTCCCTTTAACTTCTGTCCTTCTCAAAGCACCATCCATTTCATCACAGTCTGAGAAAACATCTTAGTAATAGCTTGGTACTGAAGCAACAATCTGTCAGAGTTATTGCAAGAAGCTCTCATGCTCAGAACATGACCCAGCCTTCCCAAAGTGTCCCAGCCAGGTGCTCTGCCTGGGTCTTACATAAAATTTACAATGGAGTCTCCATAACCCTCCCTTCAGCTGCTTCAAAGCCATGTTCTAACAGATGGAAGAGGAAGAATCCCAAGGTCACTCTGGTTATAAATGCTCTTTCATTCAAGTCTGCTGGGGGGATATAGCATTGAAACCAACAGCATAAAAATAGGAAGACAGGAGCTCAGACAGGAGCAAAGTGCAGCTCTCTCATGGCTAATGCGGCAGGGATAGCAACATGTCTGTTGGCCAGTTTCTAGGATTCTTACTTATTTTTGCTTTTTTCAAAATGATTCAGTCTGGTACTTCAGGAAAACTGAAGATTTTTTCTGGAGTGAAAAGTTACTAAAAATAGAGCAAGGAACTGCCGATTCTTTTGTGGATAGATTGGACTTATGCCTCCAATTATTTCTCTATTAAATATTAAGGCCTCAAGGATTTATACTTTACTGGATCAGTTAATCCATGCAGTGAGCAAGTATATACCAATGAGGAACAGCTGATGAAAACAAATATTGGCATAGCTGCTGAAATAAGAAAATACTGGGAGCTTGCTCAGTGGTAAAGAAAGCCAGTGTCCAGGAGGGGTGAAAGAGGACCCTCTGTGATCATTTCCTATCCTCACTTCCCCACTACCATACTCCCGCTGGACGCCATCTGACCTGGGCAGTGCGGTACTGCTTGCCGTGTCAGTGTGCCACTCCCCTTCCTGCCTAGTTTAAAGCCCTCAAGTTTCCTTAATAAACTTAATAAGTTTCCTTATTCTGACATAATTAGACTTTGAGGCACTGATTGCAGATAGCAAGAGAACTGCTCACGAACACACATTTGTCTGCTTGAATAGCAGTCTCTCTTGATTAAGCATTCTTAGTCCATTAACTATTTCTATATATAAACTTCCAATTAATTACTTGAAAATAGAATGATTAGAGTACGCTGGGCCAAATTTCCCCAAGTCTGTATTGTGTCGTGACTGGTCCAGATACCCAGCTCACAAGTGCCAGTGCTCGCGCAAACACAGCTCTCACTTCAGCTTGTCTCACCCCTTCATGACTGCTCTTTGGAATTCGACCATCCAGTCGAAAGCAGCAGCAGATGTTCTCAGATGTGCCTTAGTGGTAACCACATTTTCTCTTCCTCCTAGATGTGCCCTTTGGACTGCAAACAGACCCAAAGATTACAGCTATTGTGGGCAATGATGTCCAGCTGACCTGCAGGGCCTCCAAGTACATCTACACAAACCTGGCCTGGTACTACCCCTCCTCAGAGGTGGCTCGCAGTGACTCAGTGATCAAGAATATTGACAACTACTCCATTTCTTTGACATTAGTCATCAAGAATGTCACAAGGGGCGACAGTGGCCTCTACAAGTGCAGAGTGCAGAACCAGCACAACTCCACCGACACGCTGGAGCAGCACACGCAGCTCCTCGTCAAAGGTAGGTCCTCCTCTGAGCAGAGGTGCTGAGTGGCCACTCTTCCCTTCTGGGGCTCGGGTGCTCAGCATCTCCCGTGAACAGTCCTAGCAGACACTGTGTGCTCTGCATTTGCTTTTTTGTTCCCATAGCGGGGGAGGATTGACACCAGCGGATCACTCACCCAGCCGCGGTGCTTTTGGTATAAAATGTTCACCTTGCACAGAAAGGAAACAGCGGCAGCATTGGAGCTTTCTGACTCAGTGCTAGGCGCAGATTTACTGCTGACTGCGGGGAGAAACGTCACTCACCACCTTGTTAACAGCACAGCTCTAACTTTCAGCACTGAATCTATAGGATTTTTGGAGAAGTCCTTCACAGCTGCCAGCATTATATATGTACCTAGAGATTTGGAGCTAGCAGAAGTAATCACAAATGTTACTGGTTACAAGTGACATGCAAGTGACATGCATTACTTATTTGGAGTAAGTGGAAAGTACTTGCAAGAACAGTATTTTCTTGCTTGCACCATTTTTTTTTGTTCATATCCACAAAAAAAGTAACAATGTAGATCTTGAAACCTGTTTTCTTTGAATATATGTGGCAGGAAATATATATATATATATATATATATATAATATATAAAGGACAGGAAATACTTCTTCCAGGCCTACCCCAGCAGAAACTCACTGGCAGCCCATGGAGTTGTTTCTGCTTCATAGTGAAGAGCGTGAGAGTGATCAGCTCTGAGCCTTCTCAGAAGAAAAACTGCTCTGAAAGGGAGGAATTTAGTGATCTTCTAATGGGGAAGAAAGACCCAAAGTGCAGAAATAGAATAGAATGGAAGTAAATAGAGCACAGAAAACACTTTAGAAGCAGAGTTAACACCAATGAATTTTAACTTGGCTTCCCACTTACATTACGGAGCAATGTGACGGTGAAGGGACAGCGATGCTGTTGGGGCACTTGTCACTTAGGCCCCTCGGGGGCACTGGGCTTTTCGTGCACCCTGTAGTCAGGTAATTCTCCAGATATTTTTATTCATTTAGTCAAATTTCCACCCACACACAACACGACACAACGTATACACGTGATGGCTATAGGAAAAACATAGCTAGCCTGGGAACTCGGCCATGGGAGAACTAAAATCTTATTCCCATCCTTGTAAGAATTGCTGGGGTTGGTGTTTGTCTGGTTCGTGTCAGAGAGGCAGGTTTTCTGGAGAACATGCATGGAAACAGCCCTCCCCAGCAATTTTCCTGGCCCTGTATGAACTAGCTTTTAAATCCTTCTTTTGTATGTGTTGATGCACATGGAGGTCCAAGCTGGAGTTGAATTGAAATTTAGTCAATGTGAAAATAAGCAAAATGAACTCCCCCATTCCTCCCACAGTCTTTGGGAAGGATGTTGCCCTTCTCCAACAAATCTTTGCCCCTTCCAGCCCAGCAAAGCCAGGCAGGTGGTCAAGGAGGGGAGGAGGAGGCAGAGCTGTAGGAGTCACCTCCTGAAAACTTCTGTTTTTATCCTTGTGACAACTGTAGCAAAGGCAGCGCCGTATATCATCCAGAACCTCACAGACCTGGAGGTGAACATCAGCGGCAAGATCATCCTGGAGTGCAGGGTGAGCGGAACGCCGGAGCCGCACATCACGTGGAAGAAGAACGGCTACCCCATCTCCGCAGCCTCGGGTGAGCGCGTGCTCGGAGCAAGGCCACCGGGCAGGTCACAACAGGGCCCTGATGAATCCGCAGGGGGTTTCGCACCCCCAAAAACACAAGCACAGAGCCCAAAATACCAGACCACTGCAGAGCTTGGCCTCTGAGGTCAAGGCTGTCAACTCCTCATGCAATTGTCCCTTTGCAAGTGGCAGTGTCGGGGCCTGCAGTCAGCTGGATGCTCTGCATACATTAGGGTGGCATTAGCACGACCAAGGAGCACGGCGCCTGCTCACGACATATTGCAGCACCCTGTGGTGAGGTCCCTTACTTTGCCACGGCACATCCCACAGCATCTCCTTACTTCCCACAGCACTGTAAGGAGGAATCTCAGCTCACGCTGTACAGAGCTGCCTGGGGCAGGGAGCGGGAGCTCCCTTATCTGTGCCTGGAATTCCTTCCCATCTCTCTGGCCTGCAATCACCTATAAATCATGGAGAAACCTGGGTTAGAGCTAGTCCTGTGACTTTAATTTTTCCATCTTGAGCTAGGTAGGAAATCTAGGATCATCCATAATTCAGATCAGACTGTTCGGAGCAGAAACCCTTTATAGCTACTGAAATTTTATAAATAATTCTAGAAGGACAAGAATGTAACTCATCCAACCAATGGAAACATAAATAAAATATTTGGAAAAAACACCTCAGGGTAAATATTTCAGCAGAGTGCATGGCAAGTTCCGTGCAGTACTTTTGTTAACAGCAACAGAATCCATGGCAGAACACCTGGCAACTCAAGATGTGCTTCCCTTTTGGATTCATAGCCCTGTCTGTTCCCATTTCTGCCCCAAACACAGTCTTAGGGAAACAGATGATCTCTCCATTTTGTGCCACAGAAGCAGGAAAAATAACTGTGGAAATAAATACGCTGCTGTTGATCAGAGCATCCCGACAACTTCTTTGAAAGTTTGGTCAGGCTCCGTCTGGGCATGATAAATTAGCAGCCAGGTTTGATGTTGATTAAATGATCCCCAAATAATTTATGCAGCTATTGAGGAGAAAGCAAACGACAGGGAAGGTCATTTTCCACCAGACCACAGGGAAGAGAATAGCATTCAAGTGACTCCTAGCAGAGATCAGCAGCAGACCTGAATGTGCTTGAGCTCCCTTTCAGTGCTCTGCTTCCTAAAAGCATTTGTGGGCAGATGGATCACTGTGATTAAATTAACCCTAAATCTCTCACTACAGGAATTTCCATGGAAAATAATACCCTGGTCATCGAGCGAGTGAAAAAGGACGATGAAGGCCTCTATGAATGCCAGGCATCCAATGACATGGGCCAGGAAAGCACATCAGCCTTTATTAAAATACAAGGTGAGGTAAAATGGGTTGGACCAATGGGAACTATTTTTCTGTCAAGGACCTTGGCTGAATTTGAAATTGGCTGTACGTTTAACCTACAGGTTCTGAGGAGAAATCCAACATTGAAGTTATCATTTTGGTCTGCACTGGCTTAGCAGCTACCCTCTTCTGGCTTCTTCTGACCCTTTTCATTCGGAAGCTGAGAAAAGTAAGAGAACATCCGTACTGTGCAAAGGCTGAAGTCAAGCCAGTGTGAATGTTTGGGGAAGATGGTAAAAAAAACTGTGAAAAGTGTTCCTATAAAATTTCAGTCTAGATTTTCTGCTGATAGTCCCATGACATCTCGAGAGGTCACTTGTACTTGTGACATTTCTACCCACCTCCTCAGTATCAGAAAATCAGGCTCCTCCTTTCTGCAAGTTAAACTGGCTTGCAAGGAGATAAAATTCTTAATCCTCTCAAAAGAGGGCTTCATTTCAGCACAATAAGATTTCCCTAAAATACACAGAGCAAGGGAAGCCCTGTTTTAAGAACTATTCTAGGATGTTTGTTCTACTAATGAGCCCAAACTACATGGTTTGTTTTATCTTTGAGGCTCATTGTTACTTTACGTCCCATTTGCGACTTGGAAAAAAATAAAGTTTCAGTGATGTTCCAAGGAGCATTTTATAAAATAAATCAAATTTAAATTTGTTTTGCCTAAAACAAACAGCAAGTAGAGTGGAAACCACAAGTGTCTGCTCTGAAGCTCACACTAGGGCTATAGTTCTAGTGCTGATCCTTAACACTTGAGTATTTCCCCTCCTATTGAAAATACAGTGATTACATTCACATTTTCCCTCTTTGCATCCAGTCTAACCGAATTGTGAATAGTACATTTCCTATTACATTTTACCGTCATACACTCTGGTTTAAAGGTCCCACCAAATCCCAGTTTTTCACCAAGCAGCATTAGAAGTATCATCTTATGACTAATTTTGAGTTAGAATAAGCAGTAGCTATGACAGGGATAACTGTGGAGAGTCAGGCCCTCAGTTTTATGAATGGTAAAGTTCTGATTCTGCAAAGCAAAATGCTGAAAAACTGCCAAAATGCATCCGAATGTGCTCAGCAGGGCCCTGGGAAACACAACTCATGGAGTCCCCCTAAAAAGCTCTGCCTTCCTTTAATAGCTACAGGCAGAAGACAGTGATAGATTTTGTGTCCTCAGAGCGTTTACCAACATTAATCAGTGACTCTTCTGAACACTCACAAGTGGCAGGCATATATAAACATTTATTTCCCAGATGAAGGGAAAAAAAAAGAACATCAGAAAGCTGGAAAGGTGCATCCGTGGTTCAGAATAAATTTCAGAGGTAAGACTGAAATTCAGGGAATGGCCCCACTTGCACTCAGTCTTCTGGATGACAGCTCACTCCCACTAGAGTTGTGGGGTAAATATTGTGAATTAATTCTCTACACCCTGCTTTTAGCCTGATGCCACGGACATTAAAACGGGATACCTGTCAATTATAATGGATCCAGAGGAAATGCCTCTTGATGAGCAGTGCGACCGCCTTCCCTACGACAGCAGCAAATGGGAGTTCCCAAGAGACAGACTGCGGCTGGGTGAGTGGTTGGGCATTGCTGTTGCAGAGAATGATGATTTCTGATGGTCCTCAGTTTCCCTGCACTGGTTGTATAATCCGAGGAACAACCTACCATATAATGCCAGTGAAGTCCCGGCCTTGGGGATGAATTGGTGATGAGGCAGAGAATTCCAGATTATCCTTGTTGGGGGCTGAGCTGGAGATTTGGTAAGAAAAGCAAAGCTGCCATCTCTCAAAACAGTCCCTGCCTCTTCTTGCCCTTGAAGAAGTGACACCAAGCTCTTGGCAGGGAAGACAGCAGTGTGGCAGGTACCTGCCCTGTCAAGAGCTTTGTTTCACTCCCACCGAGGACAAGGGGGAATGGAGATGAATGTTAAACAGCAAGACGTTTAGTGAGTTTTCTTTGGAAGAAACTCATCAAGTCGTTAACTATTCAGTTCTTTATCGATCATTTCAACTTGGCTTTGAGATGTAAAGAAAGGTCAGGAAAAATGAGCAGTCATTTTTACAAAAGTCTTCTTTCAAAAAAGAACCAAATTTCATTTAGTAGGTCAGCACAAAGGATGATGGAGCACAGATATGTACAAAATAGACTGTATGTACACTGGGAACCAGCAGCAACTGCATGCACCAATGCACACACCAAGTATAAGTGTGCTCGTGTCTGCTCATGGTGCTTGAGCTGGGTAAGGTGGAGAAAGGAGAAAGTAAGACAAAAATGAAAATGCCTGGGAAGATGATGAGTCACGGACAAAGTGGCAGGACCAGAATTGCAGACAGTGATGCCCACTGTGGCCTGCTGCGTTCTGTCTCAGAGCCCTGAGAGCTTACTAGGTAATACAGGCTGGAAAATTCAAGTGAAAAGGAAAATAAGAAAGATTATCAGCTTAAATTCCATTTAATAAAGATTTTTTTTTGCCAAATAAATGTCAATAACTGAAGGGTTAAAGGTCCAGGCTCTCTCCATGATTGTGAGTCATGATAGATCAGGATTCCACAATTCCATGTTCAATGTGAACTCTAATTTTTCTAGGCTTAGGGATATTTATACGTAATGTTTTTAGTTTTTGGTATATATATTTGTCAAGTCATTGATATATATTCAACCCTGCCTCCAACTGAATGCAAATTTATTTATTCTACTCTGTTCTGTCACATTCTGTATTGCATTAAAGTCATATGGATATAAACCCTAGGGTTCATATACATATGCTGCAATATGTGATACAGGCTGCTGTTGACTCTCGGTCTGTGCTGTGCCCGGGCTTTGGGTCTTGTGTTTCTTGCATAGCTGAGAATGCACGTTCCCCTCCTATCTGATGCAGACTGTCATAAGTCCCCCTCGGCTCATTCTTGACTCTTGCTTCTCTAGGTAAAACACTGGGTCACGGTGCTTTTGGGAAGGTGGTGGAAGCGTCTGCTTTTGGCATTGATAAATCTTCAACCTGCAAAACAGTTGCTGTTAAAATGCTTAAAGGTACATATCCCTCTGAGATTCAGAAGACTCCTCAGGGAACCTGTTGGCAAGAAGGTTTTCAGTTCTCAGCTCCAAGCCAGTCCCAAGTTCATTGTGTTCAGGAGGGAGTGGGTTTGCCATATGGGAGCAATTAGTCGTTACACAGTGGATGCTAATGCGTAGGAAACGACAAGCGGGCTCCGTGCTGTGCTGCTGATTAAGTCTTGTATTCCTAGAGGAGGAGAATGGCAGCTTCCAGGTCCGCAGGGTTAGGAGGGAAGCAGATTACAGAATGTAATTACATCAGATAGGCTGAAATTGGATCTAAGGCTTCGATCACAACCCTTCCAGATGTAGAACACTTCAAGGGGCTGCAGAAAAGCAGTGCTGAGGGAGTGCATTAGGGACAACTTGCTTGCAGTTATTGAAATTAAGGAATGCTGTTGCTATTCAGTGGTGGGGAAAGGGTGAACTCAGAGACTATTCTTTCATATTACATTTACATGCAAAGACTTTGCAGACAGCTTATGAATAAATACATCAGCCAGAACACTGACTGCTTGAGTTGCAGGTTTTTAGCTGTTCACTTTGGATTTGGTCTAAGGTATAAACTGGATGTCTTTCCATAGTCCAAACTGCTCTGCATTGCTGCTGCACGATGTATTAACCCCTGCAATGCCATAATTCAGGAACTTCTCTTATATCACAGTATTTGGCTTCTGTTGCCAGCTGCTGCCCCTGCTGCTCTGCTACCTCCCATTTCTTTCAAATGCCAAAATCCATTGGTTTGTTGCCTTTCTGGGCCTCCTCTGCTCCTGCTCTCCCTTCTCTGCATCACTAAAGAGATCTTTAGGTCACCTGCTGCCCTGCCGTTGTTTGTTCCACTCCCATGCCCATCTCCAGATCCTGCCCTGAAAGACCCTGCAGCCCCTCATCCATTCACACTTCCCTCTCCATCAAAAATTCACTGCCCTGAATAACTCCAGGTTTTCATTTACTCCCAAGCTGTGTTTGTCAGCTGACCCTCATGGCAAATCCACCCTACCTGCACATACTCCATAAGTTCTGACAATTCCTCCATGTAATTTTATGCCTTTCTCCCCCAGTAGACACAGCAGCCTCCTGCTCTAACTTGGCCTTCCCCAGCTAACATGTCCATAAATCAGCATTTTTCTGAATATCCTCTAGTGTGAGTCAATCCATTCAGAAGAAGAAAAAATCAAACAAACAAAAAACATGAAAAGCTCTGGAGACTCTGGAGATGGCTGCATTACTGTAATTCCAGCATATTTGTCATTTCCAAGAAGTATCTTGGTATCTGTCCTGAGTTGAAGGCTCTATCTTAATGCACTAGATTATCTAGAGCCTTTCAGAGGCTGTTGTGTTTGGATTTTACTCGGCATGTGTCCCAGCTCACGCCAGGATAAATCAGAAGCAATGCCACTGAAGGCAGCAGCGCTACGCCCCTGTACAGAACCTGCTGACTGAAGAAATCTTGGCCTTGGAATAGCCCCTTCTTCATGACACATAAGTTGGTGGAAAATTTGTTTATGTAGAATTCTGCCAACCGATAAAGAGGTTAAGTTTGTCACACCGAACGGTTTATTTTGTAACTGTTTCTTCATTTTTAAATTTGACATGATACATGGATGATATACTGTGCAAACAGGTCACAGTCCCTTTTATTAAAATTCAGTTTGATCATGAAAGTTTTGTAAAAATGTTAGTGGAAGCAAGCCAGCATCTGAACTACATATTACACAGGGACTGGGATGAACTAGGAAGGAACGTCTATGTAATCCCAATATTCCTTTCCATTCTGGCCTGGTGATGCCTTCACTTTGGTAGCAAAAGAGAATTAAATACCTTAGAACTGGCTAACCAATGCTCTGTTAAGTGCTGAGGTAATGGTTCACAAGCAAATATTCCCCTGCTTTGCTGGGAAGTGTATTTCTTCAGTTGCTGAGATCTCACCTAATGGAGATTTAGTAACGTTCTCCCAGGACACATCCTGCTGCACGATCTGCAGTGTGTTTTGGGACCCGTCTTGCAGCTGCGTTGGGCTCCTCCATCACCCGCAGTGCAGAGTTGCTCTGTATTGTGGAAAACTAGACTGAGGTGCTGCAAAGAGGTACTGCTCAACCACACAGCGCTTAAAAAGGAGGAGCATAGTTTTCCCGTTCTTGTTGCTTGGGTGGTTGTTTGCTCCTTTGCCAAGCTTGCAAAATCCAGTCCTTGCAAAGGCTGTCTGGTATCTGATCTAGGGGGGTTCTGCTACGGCACAGTAACCCTCGGTAACCCATGCTAGAGAAAGGAAGAGTCACTCAAAAGATAAAGTGTTATTTCACTTCATAAAGGTCAACAGCAGACAGTGAAGCGGATGAATTCTTATCCACTTAGGAGTCTGAAAGGCAGAGATACTGCAAGTAACCTGGGTGGGTTTCATTTTCAAGCATAAACAGGATCTCGCTGTGTCCTGTTAAAAATATCCTGTTGTGTAAATATGTTTTTGCCCTGTTTATCTTAAGCAGAATGTGCAACTACTAATGAGTGCAAGGCTTTAATGTCCGAGCTGAAGATCCTCATCCATATAGGACATCATCTGAATGTCGTCAACCTGCTGGGAGCCTGCACCAAGGCTGGAGGTGAGAAATGCTGAATCTGATAAGTAAGTAAATAAGGAGCAAAGAAAAAACACTTTTCAGATATGATGGGGTTTGGATGTGACTGGAGGGGAGAGACTTGAGAGTACTTGAGACCTCCTCTTCTCCCAGGCACTTCACTCCTGCAAGGCCAGGGCAGGCATTTTGCAGGCATACGGGAAGTTTTAGGCATTCCAGGCCAAAAGGAGTAAGAGCTGAGGACTTTCACGGGGCTGAGCTGACAAAAGTGGCTCTCCATCATACAAACAGGCTTGCAAAGCACAGAGTTGGACAAAGGGGTCTATAAATCTTAGAACTTTGTCACGGAAATGTCCCTTCCCTTCCCATGTTGCCATACAAAGCATCCTTGTCTCTTACTATGCCATGCTTTAAAGTCAGGCTAACAGCTCTCAAAGATGCCTCTTCACTACTTACAATGAACCTTCAAACCAATCCCCAGTGGGTAGATATAAGAGCGCTGAGGACAAAGAAACCAGAGTAAAAT